CTCCCCTTCAGGAAACTCCGCCCCTCCCCGCCCTCTTCCCCAGAATAGTTGTTTCTCTTTCTCCTGATTCTCTGTGTTGTGCTGGTTCGGGGTGAGGAACTTAGCTGAGGAACTTTGCATTCTTTCCATCAGACTCCCCAGAGAGTCCGGCCATCACAGAGCGTTAGCCTCGAAGTAGCCTTGGGAATAGAGCCTGTCAGACTGTTTTTTCCAATAAAAATACATGTTAATACTGTTTGTTTGTTTTTTAAATCTGGCAGGAGGCCTATTGACCTAGTCAACCATTCGCCCTTTCCCTGGATTCTCATAAAGCCCTAGGTCTGAAGCACTTTAAAATGTGTCACTTTAAATAATTATTTCAGTGACCCAAACCCTTCCCCACCCCAAGTGGGAAGGCCACAGAGGCCTCACTATCTTGGAAAACAAATCTCAGCATTTTAAAATGCTCCCAGACCCGAACAACAACAACAACAAAGTGTTGGCTCAAAAAGAAAACTCGGACATCAAAATGAATTAATATATGATTAAGTGTTTACAAAACAATGCGTCATTGTGGACTCACATTACTAGATACTTTATTTGGAACAATTCAAAATGATAAAAGGAAACTCACAAAAAGTGTAGCAAAAATATTGATTGTGGGGTGAATTTTAATATGTGTGATGTGATATGAGATGAAAGTCTCCCAGAGTAGAAATGCCCGGCAGCTACCAGGCCCTGGGACAGGCACCTAGAAGAAGTCCAGGACCAAAATGCTGCCAGGTATCCATCCATTCCTTCACATCAATCTATAAAACTGTGCCTCTTCCTCAAGACAACTGACTTCCACCCAGGACAGGAAACCCCAAGAAGAGGCAGCCCTCCTCTGTTACTTTATCCACACTGGCTGAGAAAGGGGTGGGAGAGGGGGAGAGGAAGGTGACGGACAGCTCAGTGGCACTTGGGCCTGAATTCCATGACCCCAGTCGGTATTCAGCACTTCCCAAGCTCCTCCACTAGGGGCAGTGCAGGGTGAAAAACGCCCTCCACCCCCAAGGGTCTAGATTCTTGGAGGTAGAGCCTGAGGGTGACCAAGTGAAATTTTCTTTGAGAATTAGAGTTTTATCTTAAAAATGATCGTGTATTCTGCTTTCTTCCCCATGACATGTCTGTTTAATAGAAAGGTGATTTAAAAAATTGTTGACCAGTAAGAAAACTGAACAGTCCAAGTATATCAGCCGTGTTTGTTTTGCTGTCTGCTCCATTGCAGACCTCCGGCGGCTGGGGGGCCTTGGTGGGGGGAAGATCACAGTGTGAGAAATGAGGATGTACAGGAACACCCACAGCCTGACTCTGTCATCAGCTTTACCTAGCCAGAGGGCATCAGGCCAGTTCTCCTTCTGTCTAGTCAGAAGGCTTCCGTCTTTTCCTCAACCATTCATTTGTTCAGCCTTGCCCTCTGACCCTCAGGTACATCTGCCCTTGCCTGTGTCTCCTAGTGCTCAGCCGGTCCCTCATCCAAGAGTACCCTCCACATCTCCTCTTCCATGCAGACACCACCCACAGAATGCAGCTGAAGTCCACCTTCTCCCACTGTAGTCTTCTTCTGACTGCTTTGTCATAGAACTATCTTTCCTTTCTCAAACACGCTAAGGTGTTTTCATCCAAACCACAGGTCTAGCAGTCGATTTACAACTGCCTTACATGTTGCTCTGATCATGTTGGAGACATACAACTTGTCTCCCAAGCTAGACTCCATGCCGCTCAACATCAGCAACATTGCTTTTTACTCTTTTCTTTTTACCCTGGCATAAACGGCTCCTGGGCAGGACAAACAGTAAGTGGATAATTAATTCTTCTTTTCTTATACAGCATATTAATTAGTCAAACTGGGCTTCCAGCTTTACTTAAGGATCCACACCTTCTATTTTTTTTTCATTCTCACCAGTTACCTTTACTCCCCTGTGTTCTGACTTCTTAGTTCAGAAAATATTGGGAAATAGAAGATAGAGACATTTTCATTCCAGTCAAGATGGCAGCACAGGCAGACATGGCTCACCTCTTCACACAACCACACCAAAATTACAACTAAAATATAGAATGACCATCACTCAGAACCATAAAAAATCGAGTTGAATGGAAGTCTAACAACGACAGAATTAAAGAAACCACATCCATTCCGACTGGTAGGAGAGGCACAGACATGGAACAGGCTGGTCCCTCACTCATGTGTGGTGGATAAAAATTCAAGTGGGATATCTCAGGAGCAAGGAGTCCCAGCCCTACACTGGGCCCCCCAGCCCAGGGTTCCCGTGCCAGGAAGATAAGTCCCCACAACTTTTGGTAGCAAATCAGCAGGGATTGAGTCAGTGGAAAAAACTTCTGGAGCCCCAAGCAGTTCCTCTTAAAGAACCCACACATGGACTCACCTATCCAGACTGACTCCCTTTGAGGTCCAGCACTGGGACAGCAGCTTGAAAGGCATCGCTGGTAAACAGGGAGAAACGGAAGTGTCTGGCATCAAGGCAACAGAGGCCATTGTCCCTTTTTTAAATCCTCCCCACACAGAGCCAACAAGCTGGTGCCATATCTGAGACTCCATCAACCTGGCTAACACTGACCTGCCTTGGAGATCCCCAAAGACTCTGCCCCACCCACATTATGGGCCCACCCAAGCTGCTTTTCCATATGAATGGCTGGTCTTGGCTCACGCTTCACAACTTTCTAAATCCTATCAAACAAGCAACAGCTGGCCTCAGTGAACCCCAGGTGCAGCACTAGCAGCATCCAGTCTAGATTCACAGCTTGGTTTCACGTGGTAATCTCCAAGCCCAGCACAAGTAGCAGCCATCTCAGATTGCTTTATAGCTCAGGCAGGGTGGCCCTGGGCAAAACACAGGTAGGGGCTGACCTTGGCCTGCACCACCTGGGAACCCTCGGGCCAGTGCACCCAGTTGTCGTGGCTACAGACCACGACAGAGTACCACCAACCCACCCCTGTACAGCTGATTCTCCACAGAGGGCAGATGTTGGTGGTCAGTGTTTACAGCCAATCCTTGCAGCTGACTGGCCTGGGTAAATCCCTCTCATTGACCTGCCAAGAGCAACCAAGGCTCAATTACAAGAGGATGATGTACTCAGCCCACACAAAGGTCACACCTTGAGTACCCATCTTGGGCGATAGGGGAGGCTGTTCTACTGGACCCTACAGGGCACGTACTATATTAGGACACACTACCAAAACACAGAGTCATAGCGGCTCTACCTAATACATAGAAACAAACACAGGAAGGCTGCCAAAATGAAGAGATAAAGAAACATGGCTCAAATGAAAGAACAGATCAAAACTCCAGAAAAAGAGGTAACAAAATGGAGATAAGCAATCATTCAGATGCAGAATCTATCAATTCAAAACACTGGTTATAAGGATGCTTAAGGAACTTAGTGAGGACCTCAAAAGCATAAAAGAGATCCAGTCAGAAAGGAAGCATACACTCATTGAAATAAAGAACGGTTTATAGGGAAACAACAGCAGAGTGGATAAAGTCAAGAATTAAATCATTGATATGGAAAATAAGGAAGCAAAAAAAAAACAATCAGAATGACAAGAAGAGTCTATGGCCATACCACCCTGAAGGCGCCCGATCTCGTCTGATCTCGGAAGCTAAGCAGGGTCGGGCCTGGTTAGTACTTGGATGGGAAACAGAATGACAAGAAAAAAAGAGAATACCCCCAAAATGAGGATAGTATAAGCAGCCTCTGGGACAACTTCAGGAGGTCCAACATTTGCACCCATAGGGGTGCCAGAAGGAGAAGAGAAAGAGCAAGAAATTGGAAATTTAATTGAAAAAATAATGAAAGGAAATGTCCCTAATTTGGTGAAGGAAATAGACATACAAGTACAGGAAGCACAGAGAATCCCAAACAAGATGGATACAAAGGGGCCCACTCCAAGACACATCATAATTAAATGCTAAAAGTTAAAGATAAAGAGAGAATCTGAAAAGCAGCAAGAGAAAAGAAGTTAGTTACCTACAGGGGAGTTCCCATAAGACTGCCAGGTGATTTCTCAAAAGAAACTTTGCTAGAAGGGATTAGCAAGAAAAATTTAAAGTCATGAAAAGCATGGAACTACAGCCAAGACTGCTCCACTCAGGAAAGACATCATTTAGAATTGAAGGGCAGATAAAGAGCTTCCCAGACAAGAAAAAACTAAAGGAGTTCATCATCACCAAACCATTATTATATGAACTGTTAAAGGGACTTATGTAAGAAAAAGAAGATCAAAACTATGGACGATAAATGGGAAAAAATACAACTCTATCAACAATGAAATGTAAAAAACAAACTAAGCAATCAAGAAGAACAGAGACAGAATCATGGATACAGAGACCGTTTTGATGGTTGTCAGATGGGAAGGGGTGTAGGGGAATGGGTGAAGAGGTGAGGGGATTAAGAAGTACAAAAAGGCAGTTACAGAACAGCAATGGGGATGTAAAGTACAGTATAGGAAATGGAGTAGCCAAGGAACTTACGTGCATGACCCATGAACATGAACAATGGTGTGGGGATTGCCTGAGGGAGTAGGGGTGCTGGGTGGAAGGGGGGAAGAGGGGAAAAAACAAGAAAACTGTAATAGCATAATCAATAAAATATAATTTTTTAACAAGATAGAGACTTTTTAATGGGAAAGTGCACAAAAACACTCAGGATCACTTCCCGAGATCCCAGATTATATGAGGTCCCTAATTCCACTTTTAAACATCTGCTCTTTTCCTGCACAAGATTTGTCACAGTTTGTATTAGGTATTTTTGTATTATGTATGGTATTGTAGTAATTGTTAGCCTGTTTCACTCCCTAGACTGTAAGCTCTCTGAGGGCCATGTGGCTGTTTTGCCACACAGGGTAGATGCTTAATGCTCTTGTTGAATGAATGAGAGTCCAGACGAGGTATTTCAGCAGGTCTTTGCATTCGTGTTCCTCCAGTTAAAAAAATAAGAAACCTCTCCCGCTCTTTCAGACGACACAAGATATACAGAGAGCAGCTGAACCTCACTTCCCTGGACCCCCCACTGCAGCTCCGACCCGAGGCCAGCTGGGTCCAGTTCCACCTGGGAATCAACCGCCACGGGCTGTACCCCCGGTCCAGTCCTCTCGTCAGCAAACTCCTCCAGGACATGAGCCACTTTCCCACAATCAGTGCAGGTGAGGTCCCCAGGATCACACAGGATGGACTGCCTGTCCCCTGAGAGGCTGAGTAAACCAGCTGGGCTCTAGAGTAAAATAGTAAAAGGTTGACTGTGACTCCTGATAGAGAAAGGAAAAGGAAGGGAAGGGGAGGGAAAGGGGGGGTGGGGGAAGGGAGAAAGGACTATAGACGTTGACCGCTCCCCTTCGAAAGAGCTCTTACAGCCACAGTCTTATCACAGCCCATAAGGAAGTGTCAGTCCGTGTAAGGTAAGATAACCAGCATCTCGCCAGAGCTTTTTTCAGCCGACAATTCTCTTATGCAGTGAGGTTATGGCGTGCACGTTGTCATTGCCACTTTACTGATGGGAAAACAGAGACTTGGAGGCTAAACAACTTGGCCAAGGCCAGCAGTGGAGCTGGGATTCAAACACAGGCCTGCCATCTCCCAGCCTGTGCAGTCAAGCACTGCGACATTTGAAGCGACCAGCATCAGGCCCCCAACCAGGTGCTGCGAGAGTGTCCACTGAAGGGCTAGCGAGCCTGGAGCCTTTAAGGCGAGAGATGGCAGCCAGCTGGGGCTGCAGGAGATCCCCTATTGAATGGGCAAGGAAGGGCCCAGGCTGCCTCACTGTGTCCCCACTAATGTCTGGGTCAGACCCCGGGGCCCCTGGTTGTTGGCCCCGCTAAACACAGCTGAACGTTCTTACTGCCCGTTTGCTCCACAGATTACAGCCAGGACGAGAAAGCCTTGCTTGGGGTGTGTGACTGTACTCAGAGTAAGTGACGTGGCCCTGCCTCCACCCAGCCCTCCACCACCACAGTTGTGTGAGCCCGGCACCGGGCAGCGGTGGGAAGGGCCCAGCGGGCCCACCTCCGTGGGGGTTCTGGTTGGGAGTGGCAGACTCTCTGCCTAATCTCTGAGAAGTCAGCAATTCTCCCCACCCACCCACACCACAGAAAAGTCCCTGCTGCTCAGTGTGTGGTCCGGGCAGCATCCTCACATTATCAAGGAGCTTGTTAGAAATGCAAGCTCCCGGTCCCCCTCTGACTTTCTGAATCAGAATCTGATGTTAACAAAGCCCTCAAGGGAGTGGACTGCATTTGCAGACTGAAGAAGCAGTTGTGCAAGTAGTGTATTCCAGCAGTAGTTGAACCACCAGTGGAGAAGGACGGTGAGTGGTTCTCAGGCCTGACAACATTTCAGAGTCTCCTGGCAAGTCTGCAAAGTGCAGAGGCCTGGCCTCCATCCCAGGTTTCGGTTCAGTTGCAAAGGGTGAGGCCTGGGCATCAGCCTTGTAAACCGTTCCCAGTGATTCTAACGCAGCTGAGGTCGAGATGCCCCTCTCTGGGGTCAATGATTAATAGAATCAAATGCAGGCATGAGATGCAGCACTGCCCCCTCCCAGGGTGTCATGAATTGGGCACAGTTGTGCCCGAGCACCACACAGCCCCCAGAGTGGCCAGGCCAGACCTGGGCCTCGAGGCCCCCAGACCAGCCACCACTGGCCACGAGCAGCCTCATCTGCTTACCTCAGTGGACCGAACACACACCAGACATTTCTCTGTGTGTCATGACGTGTTAAAGGTTTGAAAGACAGAGGTTTCTTTATCACCTGCCATTTGCCATTTTATAGAACATAGTGGTGAGTGAGACATCGTCGTGACCCTCACAGGGCTCCCAGTGGCACTGGGACAGGGTGGGCCAGTGAGGTGCCTGCAACACGACAGGTCGGGAGGCAACTTGCACTGGTCAGGGTCGTGTGAGGGCACCTTAGGTGCCTTGTGCCCGCAGCCCTGTCCCATCCCAGATGTACAGTCCTAAAGAGGAAGACATATGGATAAACTAGTCTAATAATGCAAGATAGCAGATGGCACACTCGGGAGCTAGAAGGCCCCATGAAGCTCGAGAGGAAGAAGTCGATTGTTAGGGAATCGTTCTCTGGGGTTTTCTGTGAGTGCCTGTCTGGGAAAAACCTATATTGTCGGCCCTTTTCCCATAGCAGCAGGGAAGATATTGTCTTGACCTTCTGGGCACACTCCCTTCAGCCTGATGCAATGGAATGTACGCTGCAGGCCTTCAAAAGCAGATTCTAGTCTTTAGAAAAAAAGAGATGAAATGGGTTGGGTTTATTGAACGACCAAAGGGCCAGGTACCGGAACTTTACCCCGGAAGCATAGTTAATTCCCCTTGTCCCCCTGACAGTTGTGAAACCCAGTGGGGTCCACCTCAAGCTGGTTCTGAGGTTCTCGGACTTCGGGAAGGCCATGTTCAAACCCATGAGGTAAGTGACTGCCTTCCTTGCCTCAGATGCAGCCTGGGCAGCCCTGGGGGAGTTTTGGTCCAAAGTCAGTGAATGATGAGGAGAGGCGGGTTCGACCCAGGCTGGACTTAACAAGTGGCCACACCTTTCAAAATAGAAGCCGGACTTGGGGCAACCCCTCACTGTGTTTACCAGGACTTAAAAATGCACATCGCTGTTTCCATGGCTGCTGCTGTTTGTTTTCAGCTTTCTGCAACATTATGTTTATTTATATTTAAGTTGCATTTGCAGCTGTGGTGTAATCTCAGACTGTAGATTACAAAATTATTCAAAGGTCGTCATCCTTCCATGTTTATTAGTGTTGAGGCCAGAAGCCTGGATGCCCTTCGTGACTGGAAGGACCTTCCTGATCAGACACACCCAGCCAGCCCACCATGCGCAGGCAGGCTGAAGCTTCTTAGGAATCTATTCGAGTTAAAAACGTATATAAATCCACATCCTCTACACCAGCCCCCTCCCTCAACCCTCTGGCTAGCTGACTCTCATGACCCAGCAAGGTGTCTCAGAGGGACGAGACAGTCCAGTTATTCCTCCCTATCACCCTAAGTCCCAGAACTCTCTGTCCTTCAAACCTCAGTCATGGAATTCCATCTTTAGGGCACTTTTGCTTTTATAAAGTCCTGTCTTGCACCCCACCTCCCTCAATCCTGAGCACCCGGGTCTTTCCTGTTCTGCTTTCACTAGCCAGTTCCCTCTCCTCTGTTTCTAGCTGCAGAAAGAAGGTCTGTATTTCTTCCCTCTCAACTACTGGGTTTTTTAATAGTCAGCCTCTGTCACCAAAAAGTTCTTAAGGAGACTTGGTACTGGGGGTGCCGACAAGGCAGCGTCTTGCAGGAAGCCTGGGTCCTCTTGCTGAGCAAGTCTGCTCTCCCGGGGAGCCACAGGCCAGGCTCGATTTGCCATCCATCAGCTACGTGTACAGTAGCATGCATTAAAATCATGAAAGTGCATTTTCCTTTCCCTCCGGTCCTGCTCATCAGTTGACTTCTCAGGCTCCCAGCTGAAGTCTGCGTCCAGGGCATGATTCCCTCCTTCTTTTCAGACAGCAGCGAGATGAAGAGACACCCGCGGATTTCTTCTATTTCATCGACTTTCAGAGACACAATGCTGAGATCGCGGCTTTCCACCTGGACAGGTAGGGTCTGGCCCATGGAGAGAGCCCTGACCGCGAGGGCCAACCTCAAGAAGGGAGACTGGGAAAGACACTGGGTGGGACCTCCCCGAAATGTCTTCCTTCTGGCTCTTTGACTCCTTCATGAACACCACCTGAGAGCCTTTCAGCCTCATCCTGAAGCCACTGAATCAGAGCCTGAATTTGAACGAGGTCTCCTGTGACTCATATGCACATTAAAATATGAGAAGCTCTAACCTAGAACACAGCTCGGATAGTGAAAGTTTTGCCCAGAGGCTTGATGGAATGAGGATTCCTCTTCCATCCCTTCCGCCACCCCTTTCAATGTAGGTTTGCCCTGGGCACCATCCTCTCAGCCCTGCGGGGACCCCCACAGCTGAGTGTGGTCAGAAATGCCAGTCCATTTTAATGGGCAACGATTGACCTCCCTGGCCATCCCTAAGATCTGAGCAGGGCTCTCTCTCTTTCAGGATTCTGGACTTCCGACGCGTGCCACCCACAGCAGGGAGGCTAATCAATGTCACCAAGGAAATCCTAGAGGTCACCAAGAACGAAATCCTGCAGAGCGTTTTCTTTGTCTCCCCAGGTAGAGTACTGGCCAAAGCCATCTTCCTGGGGAGGCGTATGCCACCGTCCAGCACTCCCACCCTGGTCCCCCTGAGCTTCACACAAGGGAAGCTGGGGATGGGAAAAGGTCATGCATGAGGTGCTAATGAGACCGGGCAGGCCCCTAATGACAGTGCCGACCTACCTGGAATCAGGCTTTATCTGGACAAAGAACACTGATCATAAGGACAGGAGGGAGTGGGGCTGGGCCCCACACGTTCTCTGCTCTGGGACATTAGAAAAGTGGTAGTCAGGATGCTCGGTTTAAGAGCATTCACCATCTGGAAAAGTTCAGGGGTCGCTTCCCTCCAGGTGGATTTCTTGGGGCAGGAAGCTGACCTGCCTCCTCTCCCCTACCCCATCCTCCAGCCAGCAACGTGTGCTTCTTCGCCAAGTGCCCCTACATGTGCAAGACTGAATACGCTGTCTGTGGCAACCCGCACCTGCTGGAGGGCTCCCTCTCCGCGTACCTGCCGTCCCTCAACCTGGCCCCCAGGCTGTCTGTGCCCAACCCCTGGATCCGCTCCTACACGCTGGCGGGGAAAGAGGAGTGAGTTGGCCCCCAGCCGCGTGGCCAGGCACATTGGTCCCTGAGAGTGACCACAGTCCTATGCCAAGGACCTGTGGCTAACCTGGCTTTTGGACCCCCAAAGCTACCTCAGTTTTCCTTTGCCTCTTTGCACATAGATCCTGGGACCAGCTGGCCTGTGTTTACTCTCCCCTTAGTTCATTTATTCAATTATAAAGAGCCTACTATGTACCCAACACTGGGTGCTGGGGGACACAGAAAGGAAAGATGCACAAGAAGCTCCGTGGTTGAGCTGGGGTCAGAGAAATAGCCCAATTCTGCGAACACGGCAACACCTGCTGTGATACAGAGAAGCACTGAGGGCCCACAGGAGACGCCTGGGCCCCCCGAGTAAGCCCGTGAAGCCCAGGACCCCATCGGCATATCCCAGAGCTTAGCGCACCCCTGGCACGTAGATACTCAGTTCATGTTAGCTGACTGAATGAATAGGTTCCTAGTGCTATTCATGAGGATGAGAAACCCAGAGAAGTGAAGTTCTGGAGGACGGGACAGATCCTACAGGACCCGAGAAGGCCAGGAGCCCACCCACTGGCAGGGGACACGGCCCGGGGAGGTGGGGCGGATCCAGGCAGAGGAGCGTGAGTGAGAGAGACAGAGAGTGGCTTGTAGGCTGCAAGGAATGTCTCAGGAGAGCTGTAGGGCCCAAGGCCCGGTGAGAGGAGCTGCAGAGAAAGCAGGTCAGGGACATGCAGCCAGGCTGCCCCCGGCTGCCCTGTCACCGCCCCTCTGGCATGTGGTACGCTGGCCATCGCTGTGGCACCCAGCACAGCGGATACTCAGGAAACATGTCCTCAAAGGAGCCAGAAAATTCTCACCGCATGGACTCCGCGGCCTCCCGTGTCTTTGCCCAGGGTCCACCCGAATGTACCCAGCTACCATCTGCATGCCTAGGGCAGGATTCCCAGGCAGGGGTTTCGGGGTGGGGGGGGACAGGTGTGAGGAGGGCCCCCAACACCTTGCCATCTTGGCTTTTCCAGCCCCAGGACTGGTTCTCCCCCTCAGGTGGGAGGTCAATCCTTTGTACTGCGACACCGTGAAGCAGATCTACCCATACAACAGCAGCAACCGGCTGCTCAACATCATCGACATGGCCATCTTCGACTTCCTCATCGGTAGGTCCCCTGCCTGGGTCTCTTGGCAGAATGGGCTCTGCTGTGGGTCTGGGATTCTCCCTGACCTGGGGCACATTGCAGCCTGGACCACGAGGACTGAATAACCCCACACCGCCCACAGCCACAGCAGTGGCGGAGGTCCCAGAGGACAGAAGTCAGCATGCTCCCCTCCTGAAAGGCAGAGACGTGAGCCAGCCAGGCCCGAGCGGGCCTCAGGTTTAGGCCTCAGGTTCGAAGTCATTGATTCCCTGGACCAAATGAGGGGAAACCAGGAAGGAAAGAGCAGAGCGCCCAGTGAATGGGGCAGTGGGTAGCCCTCGGGAAGGGGCAGCTCATCTGCCTTTGAGTCCCTTGGGGACCAGGGAAGACTAAGGGGACAGAGTTCTGAAGGTGGCCAGCACACACATGTGCAGATCTGAAGTCCCACGGCCCCCGGCCCCACTCACCGTCACGCCCTTTGGGAAGTTAACCTGTGTCTGCTTCCTACAAGCCTCAGTTGAGGAGCTCAGTTGAGCGAGGAAAGCCAACACTGACGCGGACTGTTTGAGTCCCAGGCCCTGGGGTTGGGGGAAACCGTGAAAGCCTTAGATTTGCAAAGTCCATACTAGGGCTTGTTGGCTTGCTTAGCTTCCTTCTCCCTCGACAACGCCCCTAATCACCCTGGGGAAATGACAGCCTGTGGCCCTGGGTTCAGACTCTTGTCCGAACTGCTAAAAGGCCTCCATGCCCTGGAGAGCAAACAGGAGGCCAGGAGCACCTGCCCCATAGCCTAGGGGCCTCATGGCCAATGTCTTCCTCCTCCTTTACAGGAAATATGGACCGTCACCATTATGAGATGTTCACCAAGTTTGGGGATGATGGGTTCCTTATTCACCTTGACAACGCCAGAGGGTAAATGTCGCACCACCCCCCCCACCCAGCTGTACCCCTCGCAGCTGCTCAGGGGAACCAGCCGCCCGAGAATGAGGAGCTCTGTGGTCACGTTCCCTGTATCCTTGCCCTACTTGTTTTTCTCTGTGTAAACTACCACTTGTGTCTCCTCAACCCCAAGAGCACTAGGGAAATAGATTGGACTTTTCCGTGGTTTTTTACTGGAGGCAGAGCAATGGCTGGTCCTCAGCGTCCGGCCCTCTGCAGTTGGTGAATGAGTGAATGGGTGATTGCTTGGTTTTAACACCTTTGGACAGAGAATTTTGTGACCTGATTGAGGACAGGGGCTGCAGGGGCAGCTGCCAGGATCCCTGGCATTTTACCCCAAGCTGTGCTTCAAAAAAGAGGCCGAGGGGGAGAAGAAAACCCATTCAGAAGGGAGGGGCTGCGTGCCACCCACAAACACCCGTGTCTTCTCCTAGGTTTGGACAACACTCCCGTGACGAAATCTCCATCCTCTCGCCACTCTCCCAGTGCTGCAGGTGAGCTCTCAGTTCATGGGCGGGTCACCACTGTGACACTCCATCCTGCTTGCAACCAAGTTCTGAGGCTCTTACTCAGTTTTCACTGCTTTAGAACATGGGTGGGTGGAGTGACAGGAATTACCACTGACGGAATTTTCCCCAAGGACAGCTGAGAGTCTTTCATCTTTCATCATGGGGATGAATTAGGATCTTAAAAGAAAAAAAAAAAAGGCTTTTCAATCACTAACTTGAATCTTTAGCCCACTCAGATAATAATCACCACTCCGGCAGAGCCTGTCTTGTATGTGACTAATCAGTCCTCTGCTTCGCCCGACGCTCACATAAGCTCATGAATGTCGCTACTTGATCACCAGCCAAGTAAAATTCTGACTCCAGTCCCACAAGCCCATGTCAGATTGAAAGAAGCACTGACACCTTTGGCCACCATTTCTCTGGAGGAGCTCTGACCTACTTCTGCACCTCCCTGGTCTTCCCAGGCTTGTGAGATTGTCCAGCTGCTCAGCCACAGTTAGAGCTCATTAGAAATCTGTGACTCACACTTAGCAGAATCATCTCATTCACTTTCCGCTGGAACTCAGAAGGAAGCCTGAACTTTCTGTATCCACTTTTGGGTGCATGCACAGGAGCTCCCCTCCCACCCCCCCCCAGCCCCGCCCCCCCCCCCAGGAGGGCAAGCCTTTTAGGACCAAGGCTGGACAATGAGGCTGCCTAGACATCCAAGTCCAAATCGGATTTCTGTGTGAACTCAAAATCCTCAGGTCAAGCCTGACCCCACCCCCTTTCACCCCTCTGGTTTGAGAATCTGGCACCGGAAAGTATAAAGTTGCCAAGGAGCAACTGGGAGGCTGTCGCCAGGTTTTTGAGGTGGCAAAACCTCTCGTAGCTTTACATTTCCTTGGAAAGCCACAATCACTTCGGACTTCCTTAGCGACGCCAGATGCTCACAGTGCAGCATTACTGGGTGGCATCCCAACCAGCAGAGTATAAGTGGCTCCGCAGGCCTTTGACCAAAAGGCCACTGGAAAAGGACTGCAGAATACTGGGTCATCTTTCAGTCATTCCTTTTGACCCAGTTTCCACGGAGATATGCTTAAGACATTCAGGGAGGGGCTCTCAGAGTACCAGCTACGATGGCTTCTTGTGGAGGAAGTTAGTTAACTTTCTTCACGTTTACTGATGTGGCCCCTATGACTCTGCCCTCCCAGGATAAAAAGGAAAACACTTCTGCACCTGCAGCTGCTGGCCCAAGCCGAGTACAGACTCAGCGACGTGATGCGGGAGTCACTGCTGGCGGACCAGCTCGCCCCCGTCCTCACAGAGCCCCACCTCCTCGCCCTGGACCGGAGACTCCAGATTATCCTGAGGACAGTGCAGGGCTGCGTGGAGGCCCACGGAGAGCATAGCGTCATAGTCAGTGGCCCGGCGGAACAGCTGGCCCCAGACTCTGGCAAGGCTAACGTGACAAGCTAGGGGCTGGGCACGTCCAGCTGCAGGTATTACCCCTGTAGCCAGCAGTGGACCCGAGTGAGGACCACTGCGTGCTCACGTGCCCCCTGGGGACGTGGCAGGTCTTGGGGCATGAGCTCGGGAAGCAGGTGGGGCATCGGGATGGTTCCGAAAGGGCAGAAGAAGTGGGCCTCGTCGGCCCTTCCTCCCTGGCACTTCTCCAGTGGACGGCCTTGGCTCCCTCTTGCTCAGGAAGCACAGCTTCGCCAAGGTCACAGGCCAGCTCCTGGGCCCACTGGGAAATTGGGATAAATCTGGGTACACGGCAGGCTTGAAAGGTTTGGAGACCTTGTTCCCAGAAGAGGGTACTCAGTGTTACAAATAAAATAAAAGGACACCCAGTGGACACCTAACTAAACCTCCAGATTCTTTGTACCTACAGGGGTAATTCCCAATCCTGATAAAGCATCTGGCATATCGCAAGCAAACAGAGAAATCTAAAACAACTAACTCTCAAATTGGTTCAAGGTAGACTTCACATTTTCCACTTACATTCTAGTCAGTGCGGCCCAACCTCAGGACGATAATCACTACCAACTGGTCCTCTGAAGTAATTTCTAAGAAATGTTATTACAAGAGGCAAAAGTAACAGGGATTTGCTCAGAATATCAGAAAAGGGATGTTTCAACCTCAAGACTATCTAAATATCAATTGAAATAATATCAAGTATGTCAAAATTAGCACCCAGTAACAAGGAAGAATTTTAATGAAAGGGAGTAAGGGTGGGATTGAAGGTGGGAAGCACAGACCCAGGCCCAGCAGCCACATGAGCCTGGACTGAGGCGGGGGAAAGCCAGGGCCCTCCACCCCAGCTCAGTAACCACAATCTTCCCCAGGATTCAGGAATTGTCCCCCACCTGCCCCCCCGAGAGCAGCAGGGGGCCATCTGGAGGTCTGGCAGGCTAGATGCCCTTGCCAGCAGATTTCTCAAAAAGGACTAAATCGAGCTTACGTTGCAAACCTCCCTCAGAAGCGGGCCTATCAGGGATTCCCTCCATAGGCCCCCCCCACGTTCTACCTACTGACTTGCTGACAGCGGAAACTCCTTTAACAGAGGCTGGTTTTTATTCCGTAATTCATGACTAAAGACACAAAATGCAGGAAAGGAGGCATGCTATAGGGTGCCGAGTCCGTCAGCAAGTAAAAACTCCTGATTATATATCAACTTACAGGGTGCAAGGTCAAGAACTAGGGAAGTCACCCAAACTTCTGCAGTGTGCCCAAAGACAGCACAGACTGGACAAGGGAATCTGGCCCCACCCTGAGGCCCCACAGCACACCGCCCCTGAACCTCACATCTCTCTCTCTACCCCTCACTGAGCTCTAACCACACGTGAGGACGGACACGCAGGTTCTCAGTCCTCCCGAACAGAGAGAGTCCCCTACGTCCAATGCACACAGAAGAAAACCCACGCTGAGACTGACGCAAATCACGCAACTCAAGGACTTCGCCCTACTCCCAAGTGTTCTTTCCACAGTAACACAGACACCCAGCAGAGTCTTGCCCAATTTATGAAGTTGTATTTCTCACAAAAAATTTTTTTTTATTTGAGAGGCTGGGAGAAAAAAAACACCCCATCGATTTGTTGCCCCACTTATTTATACATTCATCAGTTGATTCTCCTATGTGTCCTGGCCAGAGTGCAAGCCAGCAACCTTGGCATATCAGGACGATACTCTAACCAACTGAGTTACCCAGCCAGGGCTGAAGGAAAAAAAGTCAGCTCATTAATAGAGGGCCCTGAATGGCAGAGACCTCCCTTGCAGAGGTAAGTACTGCAGCCCAGGGCCTCCCACATCATGACCTGTTTGCCTACTTTAGGCCAGTAATGCCCTTTGGAGGGACCAGGTAATTTCACACGGGAGGAACCATGTCCACGCAAGACGTTCACGGAAGAGCACAGTGGCCTGGGACTTCCAAGGGGCAGAGCCTCAGAAAGGTAAGCTGCAGCTCCATCTCACAGAGCCTTGCCTGTGACAATACACTGGTTTTCCAATGGCCTACATACAAATTTGGTGTACTTGACAGTGAAAGAACTGAACTTGACCACAATCTGTACAGTACCCAGATACCTAATTATTCCCTTATCTTAAACGTTCCATTAAGTTTTCACTCACAACAAAATTAAGGCTCTTTCATTTGTCAAAAACAGCAGAAAACATGACTCTCTTCTTAGAACTACCAAGTTCTTCTACCAGGTTCATTCTGGACCACTGTTCAACTTCCCACGACATAAAAGTCCTCCTGTCCTTCTGTAAAAGTTGTTCTTGTTACTACTGACAGCAAACTATAAAGTAAAAGGGACTTCTGCAGCAGGTCACTTGGCAGAGAAAAGGAGTTTAGAGAATTCATGTGTCCTTTAAGTCAGGAAGACACTTGCGTTTGAAGAGTGTAAAAAATGGTCAGTTCTCTTACTTGTGGTAGTTTGATGGTCTGTGAAGTCCCCAGACACTGAATTAATGGACACTGAACCACTTGCTCCCTGGGGAAATATGAGGGTTTAGGTTCCTGTGAGCCTCTGGATACATTTTTGTCAACCAGTCAATACATAATCTGGTTTTATGTGGTAAGGTACGTTAAAGAGACCTTAACCGAGAGTGTTGATTCACCAAGCTTGTGGTCCGCAGCCCTGTATGTGACTCAGGCCTGAGAGAGGCTTATTTAATTCACTCATTTTCTCTGTAAGGCCCGCCACATCTTTCTTACCCTGAGAAATACTGGCCAGCACCTTAGCACTACATTTGGGGGCCATTTTAAACAGCAAAATCACCAACAGAAAGCACAAAAATGCAAAAAAGGGGGCATTAAATAGACCACAAAAAAAGACATCTGATTCTAGTCCCAGAGCCCAAACAACAGGCCGAGCATTGCCCTGTTCAGCCTGACCGGGGCTCGTGCGTGCTGGGAGATGGAGTCTTCACCACTCACATCTCAGAGTGACTGTGATGGGCTGTGAGTACTCGTTCCGGGGTTACAAATAAATGTTAGCCAAGTGGACAAATATGCTAAGTTCGCTACAGTATCTGTGGACGAGAATGAACTCACTCGTTTTGAGATTAACAAAAATGACGAAAAAGCTCTCCATCTAGTGGTGAATTTTTAAATCACAAATCTACTTGAGCTCAATTGGCAGAACTTTCACAAAATGAAAGTATTATACCCATTAGTGGTTTTAGTAATCACGGCAGAATAGAGTTGAGTCACAGCTCTGAACTTATGCCCATAAGCAAATTCTACCTTTATAGGTAGACAACACCAGTGTCTGGGTAAAAGTTCCATAGGGTAAGCAGAAAGATTTATGATTCCCCCTTTTATCTTATTTTTAAAGATTTTATTTATTTCCAGACAGAGAAGTGAAGGAGGGAGAGAAACATCAGTGTGTGGCTGCCTCTCGCATCCCCCACACTGGGGACCCAGCCTGCAACCTAGGCTTGTGCCCGGACTGGGAACTGAACCATTAACAATTTGGTTTGCAGGCCCCGGGCTCTGGGCCACACCTCCCCCCCACCTTTTAAATTCTATGTACAGCCTTTATCACTAACTATAATGATAGCTACTTTGGGAGATGTATTGAATGGTGACCTGGCAACTACTGCTCAAGGCTGGCTTACCAAAAAGGTTCAGCTATTAATTTGTAGTTGGAGGTACAGTAGTACGAAGTACACTGACATCACATTACTTCAATTTTTAAATGTTGGTATTTAAGGCATTAAAAAACAAAACACTTCTATGTGAGCCAGTGTTTCAGAGGGGGAGTTAAACTATAACCAGTATGGTCAACCTAGGACACTTCTTGGTTGTATCCTGTTATAACTCTCTTGTTCCTACTCCAGTGAGTTAGTTGAAGGGATTACTGAATCTGGACAAGCGGTTACAAAGCAGTGCACATTCAAGGCTGTTCTAGAATACAATGTCTCTCCAACTCGCTGGATGTAAAGAAATGAATACTCATATACTAATGAGTACAACTTAATCCTCTCTCTCCCTGGAAATCTATGGAATAGACATCAGGAATAAGATTTTATATATGTAAAATATATAAACACACCTAAATATCTAGGAGACTATTAAATTTAAACTAAAGAGTATGCTGACCCAGAAATAATGTGTCCCCATTAGGTCTGGGAAAGTTCCAAAGCCAGAGAACCAGTCTTCAACAAAAAGGAAATCTTCATCTTTTGAGTTCCTTTCTCCCTTCCACTACTATGTGAACGGGTCTGCTGTAACTCAATTCCCTTTCAAACAAGGTTTTCAGGTTCAGTCTTTGACAAACTGACTTGAAAATCAGTTAACAAACACTTGACTCTTTTTAAAACATGAATCCCGTAATCCACTTTCGATTTTCATTCTTGCCCACCAGACTGGGACATCCCAAGGGGAGAGGTGGAGGGAAAAGAAAAGGAGAAAGGAAATAAAAACCAATTCATTTAAGAATTTAAATTATTTAATCTTTTTTATTACTTGACCTACCATTAAGACAATCTATAACAAAAAGAATAGAGTATGTTAGCACGCACAGTATAATCAGACTAGTAACCAGGCAACAATACAAAATGGTCCTTTGGCCACCTATACTTTCTAGAACAACAGATCCGAGAAATTCACTTGGCAAGCCCAGAAATGATGACTTCTACAGTCCTGATTATCAACTAAGACAAATTATGCCAATAGTGATATCTCACATATAATCAGATTGCACAAAGATAAAAGCTTTAAATGTGTTCATTTTTAAATTTTGCCTTAAAATTTCATAGATTAAAAACTACAAAAGGGAGTAAACAGCAAGCCGAATGACCTAAGAGCAAAACTCATTTAGGAAGCATTGTTTGTATCTAATACACAGGAACATGATTATGTACATATATGAAACCGCAATTTATGGCATTCTAAATAACTCACCTAAGAACAGTTTTGGCATTAAACAAAGATCAAATCAAGCTTTATGCTAACAGGAATATAACTTTTATTTTTAATTTTTTAAATATAAAAAGGTAGCTAAACACAAAGTATAGATCAGAAAACTGTCATTTAATATAGATTATTTTTAAACATAAAAAACTTGTAATAAGGTGGCTTTCTCTCCCACACTCAGATGTAAATAAAACCTCTTTCCCAGATTTCTACTCCAAACTTACTAGTAACAACCCAAAAAACTGTTCAAATCTATGGGAAAAAAGCTACCGGGGCCAATTTAAATAACCCGGGAAAGGGCAGGAGAGTGGATCAGTATTCAGAACCAGGTGTGTACAAACGGAAAAATGCTTGCAAGTCACTCCCAACTATAACCCTGTATTACACAGAAATCACAATGAAAATAAAAGTGTCTACATTACAGAACTGTGATATTTTGTTTAAAAAAAAGTAACATAATAAAAATAAACTGTTGGGTATCATTGGTGCACATGGAATAATGTAACACATAGGTTGATAAGGCTGGAAAATACTGAGATACAGTTAAGACTCAGAACAGAAGCTTACTTTAGAAAAACAAAAAGCCTGCCAGAGAAATAAATGCTAGAGAGGAAAGCAGAACTTGTCAGCAGAGTGGCCTTTTAGACCAATTTGAAACAACACAGACATTCCTACCCGACCCCTAACCCACCATACATTCTAGCTGATGCAAAAAAGGCGAGGAAAAAGGTCAAACCAAAGTAGAAAACTTCTTCCCAAATCTGCCCCAGTGAATCCAGTGGGGCAAAGTCCCCAGCAATGAACTCTGTCCACCTGGCATTTCCCCCTTTAGCAATAGCACCTCCCTTTTCCTGACGTCTGTTCCACACAGTCTGTCTACTGCCAGCAAATCCAATCTCCTGGAGTCAGTGCTTAACTCGAACAGGAGATTATCCTGGAGTCTGCAGAAAGATGGACACTAACCAAAAAGCTCCAAGTTAACAACCAAGAGAGTAGACCTTAAATTCTTATTCTCAATTCAGCAACTGATGATCAGTATTTGGCACTAGCTGGATAAGTAAAGGTCTAATCAGAATTTGTGAGCCGAGGCAGATGGAGTTAAACCATAATCAGTATTTGCAGCCTATGATTCAGTTTCAAACTTAAAAGGCAGGTATAGATAGCCACCCCTAAATGGATTTCAGAACTGGAGAGGAAACAAGATATAACCAATACCAGGCAAATCAGCTTAACAAACAAAAATCTGGTTAAAAAGGAAAAAAAGTAACAGATCATATCCATCTGATCATTAGCAAAAATGGGCACTTTTCCACCCTTAACCTAGCTTAAATACAGGCAGATATCTTTCTAAGGTTATGCTATATCCATTTTTCCTAATCCTTAGAGCTTAATGAGAAATCATTTATTCTATAAAGAAATATGGCATATATGGCCACAGTGTAAAATATATTTATGATAACTGGAAAATCGTATCACTTAAAAAATCTTGCACTGTTGCACCCTTCCTCCATGGTAATTCACTGGTGCAGGGATCTGCCCTCACCAAACAGCACGCGCTGCCCAGGCTGAATACTAACACTGCACAGAGAGAAGCAGTCACAGCAAAGTCTCCGGAGAACTCTCTATTTATTTAACTGTGTCTGAGCATTCAGTTAATGCTCCAAATTAAAAACGGTGCAATAAAAGCAACTTTTAATATAAACAGACAAGAAGCAGCGATGCCAGTGGCCACACAGGGCTGCGAACAGGGAAAGTGAAGCGGTCTGCGAGAGTGAAGCACGGACTGGGAAGAAGAGAAGGGGGAGGCACAGGTGGCAGATTTCAGACAGACAGTGACACGAAACTGTTGTACTGCTGGATGTTTCGTTTGAGGATGTCGGAGCACGGGCCCAGCACACGTTCAAATCGAGGTCGGTCCAGCTTAACACACTTCAGAGGCCCACGAGCCACCACCGTGGCTGCACGGGGACGATTCATCAGCAGAGCTATTTCGCCTGGAGGAGGGAGAAGGGAGAAACAGGGACGTGAGAGGGGGCTAACTTCTATGGGAAACATTTTCTTAGAGGCTCGCTCCTGAGAAAGAGAAAACAAATACGTATTTCTCTTAATAATTTAGTCCAGGCCACATCACACCTGCGCTTAAATAAATCAACTGATAGATGAGACAATCACCAACTTAAATTATTAACTGAGTAAGGTCAAAATCTCACACTAGTTCTCCAAAAGGCAAAAAAGATTGCAATTAAGAAATAAAATTGAAGAGAAAACAAATTATGGCACTGTGATCACACTGAAAGGTGACTTAAAAGAAACTGTGTATTCACTGAGGAAATCTACATACCAAAATAGTCAGAAGGCCCCAATCTTCCCACTTCGACAAACTCTTCATTTTCTGACCTACGCTGTAGCACAGCAGCTGTCCCCTAGAATAAAATCACCAGTGGCATTTTAATATGTTACACAATTTAGCTACTTTGAAAAAAAAAAGGATTCGAGTTATTGCACATCCTCTGTGTTCACACGATAAAAGCGGACTGATGAGAGTAACTGCGTGAGCTTAAATTCCTCTTTACCCAGCAGCCTCTGCTAGGGGGCTGTCTCATCAAGCTAAGGTACTTGGATACTTGTACTTAAAGGGTTCAGATAGATTAGCAAACTAGAGGCAGCGGGGTCCAATCCCGCTACCCATTTTTTGGGGTAAATTTCATAGGAACAACCCACCGATCCCCTTACAGCGCATACCAAAGCGTTTGCACTATGGCAACAGAGTTGAGTCTTCTTGACAGAAACCCTAAGGCCCCCAACGCCTCAACTGCTGACCAGCTGGCCCTTTACAGAAAGAGTCCTTTGATTCCCCCCACCCTGCCCCCAGGTTACATAAAACAATTCAGCGTCTACTGAGCCACATTCATAGAAAATTCACTTCTGGATCTACTTGTCAGTCAAGAGTATCTGTATCTTTTATCTCTACATTTCCATGCATTGTGAAGATATAAAATGCAGTTTAAGTCCTTGCCTTTGAGCCTTGGTTGCCAAATGGCCCAAACACATGATTTTAATAAAGATGATGTAGAATCATTAGTCTGTTACACTATAGTTTGTTTAGCTTGCATGAGGAGGATTAATTTCCGTAGGTCAGATTCTGGCTCTTACTTTATAAATAGCCCATTCCAGAATTCTGGTTCGAACTCACTTAAAATGTGTTGGCCTGATGGAGAACCAAAGAGCAGCATTTTAAAATGAAAGGCAATTTTTAAAATTAAAACGGTCAGATATTCTTTAAATCTAAGGGTGTACATCAGAATCAACCCCCTTTTCTCTCTTACGGTGCACTTCTTAGACAGTATCAATTGCAGAGTTCTTTACCTCCAAGATAATAAAGAACTCATCCCCTGGTTCTCCCTGCACCACAATCTTTTGCCCATCTTCAAACTGGACCGGTTCCAATGCATCAGCTACCGTGAGACGTTCCCACTTGTCCAGAGACTCTGAAAGGCAAGAATCCAAAGAATTTCTCCACATTATTTGGTACTGCTAAAACTGGCAAAACAAAAAGTATAGAGAGAGTCAACCATACAGGCATGTCCGTCCGATACTCCAGTTGTGTCTCAGGTGAGAAATGGTGCCCGTCTTCAATGGCCTCTGGTTTCGGCAAGACCCTACTACTCACAGATAACCTCGGACCCTGACTGCAGCAGCCCCCATGGCCAGGTTAATGTAAACTAACTGCGCCCAGTGGTAAAGGATACAGGAACAGAGTCGCTAAGGGTCCCTAGACTGCCCTCAGTGTAAATTCACCCTGCGATTACAGAACCCAGAAGCAGCAGTGTCACATCCACATTATTCCAGAGGTTTACAGAAACAATTTATCTAAATCTCCAGTTGAATTAATTTATCAAACCAACAAGAACTAAAAAATAGTTTGGCCTTGGGAATAAAAGTTAATACCCAAGACACTAAGTGAATGTAACCATTTCAGAGAAAGGACAAGTAACGGGAAATAAAATCAATTCCCTGTAACAAAACAATGGCAGAAGACATTCTAGCTCATGAAAATCACTATCCCCTCCCTCAATGAAGAACAGGTTCTAACAATACAGAGACTATCTCCAAAATTTCAACAGAACTCACAGCACTGTTTCCAGAGAAAGCCAGCACACGACACCCCTTCTCTCTACGAGGAATACAGTCTCGGAAACACTCGCTTTCCTTACCCCAAAACCTCACAGACGGAGCACCAGAGACAAAGTCACAGGGGAGTAACTGTGAGTGTCCACACTCAGAAGGATGACACTTTCTGCCTCTGTCTCTCCAGGAGAAACGAGGAGCACAAAATTCCAGAAAGCTTTTCTCAGGTCTGATCATTTCTAATCAAGAGGTTTGTCATATACTAGCAAATTAAAAACACTCTAAAATTACTTCTAACTTAATCAAACTTTTTAACTCTATATTCCATGTGTTTTATATTACTATTACTGAAAAAAGAATTTACAACTAGTGTAATTTTTATGAAGTATAATACATTCTGCTTAAGTACTGCTAACACTTCAGCTTAATAATTCTCCATGCAATCTTCCCAAACTCACCTAGAATAGAGACTTTACTAAGAAACTCTTCATACATCTTCCGCTTTCTCAGAGTGCTTCCCTATTAAAAAAAAAAGTTATAAACGTGAGTCAAAAAAAGTGTATTATCACATCATTCTGTGGAGTAATAAATAAGCTTCAAGTAAATTAAAAGAGAGAAACCACAGCTTCCTGATACATGATTATTTTTCTCCATGGTGAAGATGGCAAGCCCCTCTGTTAGCTCAATAAAAAGCTCTTAGCAACTTCCTCCTAAAAGGGACCCCAAATCCACAGTCAAAGATGGTTCCTCATACCACCAATTAGTGAAACGCAAAAAAAAGTAAGTGATCAGTTCTCAAAAAAAGTAAATAAGTAAAAATAAGAGAACCAGACATGGCTCTAGCTGAATATATTTCAGTCCAGGGTCCTGCCACATTACCCCAATCTTCCAGAGTTAAAAAAAACTGCTATCACTCACAGACCCTCCCGCACAAAGAACTGCCACAGCACCCAACTTAACCAAGTTGTCTTATCTGCAAATTTTGTTAAATATATCTGGCAGGAAAAGGGGACCACACCATCCTCTATTAATAAAAAACCCTTAACACAATAAATTACCTTGGAAATTTAGACACTTATAAATATTGATACACATATATATCCATCCCCCAAATACAGAAAATTTTCAAAGTACATCTAACTGCATATTCTCAAATAGCCAGATGGGCACCACACTAATTTAGAAACCCATTCAAGATGACTAATGCCATCAGCTGGGACTTAAACATCCAGAGCTACCTTATCAATTTTTTGCAAAGTTCTCAAAAGTCTGACTATATCAGCAGAATGTCCCAATGGTTTTATTATTTTGTTCGTTCCTTCAGCGAAAGGAAAGGTGACATTGCATTACACTGATAACCCATTTTCGGTTCAGGGAAGCTGATTATGTCTAAATGGCCTTAAATAACTGTTTGCACTTAGAAGCAGCACTTATGAGACTATCTGTGATCAGCAAATGGAGAGAGTCCTGGTTATGAGCTGACCATTATTGTATATACCACATTTGTTTTCCATGTTAGTCCTGGCCCAACTTTTGTTCTAAAAGATCACTGTCTCAAATGACACAATGAATAATGCCAAATTGGGCTTAATGCAAAGCATTCAATCATTAAAAGTAATATTCTCAGTTTACTTTGGTGATATTATTCAATTGAAATATTAGTGGCATGGACAGGTAGTCCAAATCACATGCCAAAAACCGTGGTCTTACCATAAGGATTCTTCTATAGCTGTCTCGGTCAATACCCCACAATTTCACATTGGTCTTAGCTTTAACAGTGGCTGCTCTAGGTGTTCCATAAATCAAAGCAAGTTCTCCAAAGCTCCCTCCTTCCCCAACACTGGTTGCCCATTCATTGTTGACATAGACCTAAAATACAAATGACAAAGAATTGTTTTTTTCTACATACATAAACACCTAAGTATTAAAAACCCACAAACCGTTTTCAGGGGTCAGAACCCTGAACTTTGTTTTAAAATATAATATACTACCTTTTCAGTACAAAGCAGAGCAAAATACTTCTGACAAGGAGTTAAATAAGTTCAGAAGGTCTGTGATTCACCTGGTTTAATCACCTGATAAGAAAAAGTTACTCTATACTAACGGATCAGGGCAAAAAGGTGGACCGAGCATTAATAAAAACCACATACACTTACAGAGCACTGGGCTGAGCACTATGCTGATTAATAAGCGTTTCACTAGTGTAAGGCACAGAACTGTCTAATAACCCTGAGAACAATGCCACTAATATCCCCACTTCATCTGTAAGCAAAACAGGGAATCGAGAAGCTGCACCAGTTCCCCAATGACCACTCCCCGCTCCTCTCCCTCCATAGCGCACGCGCCTTAACCACTGCTCCAGGCAGGTTCTGAACTCTTGCCTACCTAAAGAAATTACCTTTAAAAAGTTTCTCTGTGTCATTAAAATATTTGGCAAAAGGTACTGATAAAATTTGACATACAAGGGCTATATGAGCCCTTCACAAACTTAGAGGTGATAAATATCAATACACTGACTTTTAAGATTATCAACATATTTTTGCTCTTATTAAATCTTACATCCATCTCTCCTTGATCAATCACATAGAAGTTATCCCCTTCATCACCTGAGGGAGGGGAGAGCAAAAAATGTTAGAAGCATTTTACAAATCAAAGAAACACAAAACAAAAAAAACTATCCAATGGATATAAATAATAAACTTATTTTATATAGCGGTGCTATGAGAAAGAGAGTATGTTATAAATTAACACAATCTTTCAGGAAAAAAACCTCCAGCAATATATTTTTAAAATCATAAAACTGATCAAATTTTCAGTCACCTCACGATGAAAAAAATCTGTAAAAAATAACTTAAAAAGCAGCCATG